TGATCAATGGAAAAATTTTCGGGCTTTCAAAGGCGACACCAGAGCAATATCTGGTTCTTCCACGTCAGTCGTGTAGACGTCAAACTGGTACGGGGGTACGTAATGCATGTGGTCGTTAATTACGATATTTTCTTTGCCTTTTTTAAAACTATACCTAAGCTTTGCTCCTCAAAAAACCCTGAGATTGTTTTATTCCGTACAGGTCCTCTTTCCCTTTCTCCACACTTTTCCCAACACGAAAGCCACCTAGTTTGAATTTTCATTATCAACAAAAATAAGTGGCGAGATTTTAGAGTAATCCCAGAATTAAATTGGCAAGAAAAGCAGTATCGAGAAACACTTGAATTATTCGACATTCTAGAGTTACGTAAAGACCTGGCATCTTAGTCACTTCAGAAACTCTACTATGTTCTAAACACCAAACTAAATAAAAGGCTGGGAGAAGTATCATGTTGAAAGATTCCCACTGAAGTAAGTGAGCCTCCAAAACTTTGAAAGATACAGGAACTACGAAACAGCAAAGCTCAAAGGCACCGTCCACCCAAAATTTCGAATTTAATGTTTTTGTCGCCTTCAGGCCTTCTGAAAGCCCTATTCCGAATATGGAGTCGAAAATCCGCGAAACCCCCAAAAATCGCTGTTTCGAGGCGAGATAAAGCATACAAGCTTTGCTACTTCCGGGGCGGATTTCTCGCTCCAGAAGCAGTCTTTTGCGGTGAAACTTGGGGGTTTGCCTAGTGTGGGGACCCACACGTATGCCATCATAATCTCGCCAACCTCCATTTTGGGTGGACAGTGCCTTTAAGTAAACTCATGGGTGGGAAAAACACCCGGGCATCAAATAAATACCGAAAATCTAGTTGAAGGATCTGTCGCGTTACATGCGGCATTCCCAACGCGACATTGCGTTTAGATCGTCCTGCTCATTAAAAAAGGCTTGAAAGCAAGATTCTGAAGTGTCACGAGTGATTCTAGATAATTCAGGCGGCCAGTTCCAAACATTTGTAGATAGATTACAATAGACTTAGATCAAAAAATGATACGGCGATACTTGCGCGGCAGTGATTTTTTGTCAAAACGGTTTTCGAAATTTAACCGCTTGCGGCACTTCCGGTGTGACGCACGCTCAAATCATAGGATCTCAAGGACGGTACGTAGCGAAAATAAGAAAAGGAAATAATTTTGCTTTGGCTTTAGAAAATCACGGAGAAATTTCAAAGTCAGTTCGAACATTTCAGCTTGAACTGGAGATAGCTGCTCAATCATTCTCTGTGATTTGCGTATAGCCAAAAAACGCACCTTCGAATAGATCAACATCAGACGCTATTTTGCTACCTATTTGCTCATTCAATCGTTGTCCATTTTGAGCACATCTGTTCGTATGCAAGTTATGAATGAAATCAGCGGTTTGGGTATGCACAAAACTTTCTCTGCTGTTTATAATCTACCTGCTATGATGCGAGTCATTTCGCGGTAGGCTGCAATTCATGACGAATCACGGGCGCGAATTGATTGATTCTGTACTTGTACAATACACATGTTTCATTGCATGTCCATCAGTTCTTCTTTCATGCAAACACAATCCAGAACATGACGTTGCGCAATGCTAGTGTATAGTTGCGCAATAGAGGTTAAGAACAATGACTTTATAAATGTTGTCGCAACAAATAAGATCATTATATCTTCAACGATTTTCAGAGTTGAAGTCTTCCAATTTCATCAAAACTTTATTCTTCACTTGCCTTTTTTTACCGGCTAATTTCGTGTGTGCTTTGTAAGCCTGCTACTTGCAACTCTGCAGTAATTTCATTTTTCGCGTTCTAAAAGAAATTAGTTTGTTTTTATTGCTCAAGGAGCGCAGCGCACCATAGCCAAGTATTTTCCTTGCCCCATGTCTATCTGCTTCTTCAAGTCTCTACATCCAGTATTGAGCAACATTGCCTCAATTTTCTATGTAAGCATCAAACACGAAAGAACATAAATTTCATCCTAAATCAAAAGCTTCCCCTGACAGCGTTTGGTATAGAGGGCATATCGTCGATTTGTTAACAGCACGGAGTGATATCACTGCGGAGTCCGCGCCGCGAGGTAAAACGCTTGCTCCAGTACAAATCTGCCATTGTACAGTTGTGCTCACGCGACATATTAGCCGCGTCGCCCGTGATCTGCAACGTTTGTGCAGTCCGGGCGGTTAATCGGCGATATGCAGGTCGTCCCAGAAAATGTGCCAATCTGCCTTCTGTCTCGTTGTCAAACTTTCTTGTCATGAACTCTACCGAGAAGCTTTAGGTACCGTTTGTAGAGCTGGCTTTAATTTGAATTTCCAGTATAGAACGACTTATCGATCGCTTTTTATTGCTGTGAGCCTACGGTAGGATCTTTCACCACATTGCGTCGCTATGAAAACCTGTCTTTTGAGTAAATTCAACCCAGATTTGTGTAATAGGTTTTTCATGGATGCGGAGTTTGATACTCAACTCTGTACAAAATTGTGAAGTTTTTTAACGCTGTAATCACATTTCTTAGCAACGTCGATAAAACGGTTGTACTGCTTACCTGGCGTAACTGTGTAAGAAAGCATAATAACAAGATGCAAACTTCATATTTAGAATCAGCAACCCCAATTAGCCTGTGAGGCTTTTAAGTCGTTTGTTTCCTTTCTGGGCCAAAGTATGACCCTATGGCAAGAAAACGTCTGTAAAGTTCCTAATGTAAATCTACAGCAATGAAGAAGGGTAGATAATTGCTCTATACTCAAGTCTAATTTGATTATAGAGCGAATTACCTTTCTTTAGCTCTACAAACGTTGCCTTAAGCTTCTCCAAAAAGTTCATAACAAGAGATTTATCAGCAGTCAAACAGTAGGCACTTTTTTGGGACCAGCTAACGCAAAATTATGAGCCTGCGCAGCATCTGTAAAATGGGCTGTTTGGGTTTATCCTGCATCCATTGTTTTGACGTGCGAACAAATTCTTTGTCAAGAATTTGAATGACACGCTTGAAGTATTAGTTGGCATTGGCTTTATTTGACTGAAATATGATATTTTGGATTAAGTAACTCTTGCTCGAAAGCTGCGAAGTCAGCATAATTAAGTTTCCGATGAATGCGTCTTTTTTACATCGCATATCACTTAAAAGCAGCGGCTCGGCAGATTGACCTACCTCAGACTTTAACAGAGATAGATAGGAGGCCCTCCAAGTGAACCAAAACAGCAACTCCGTGCCGAAAATGTGAACTCTGCAAGCCAGGGGGCGGCGCAAGCGCCGCTCCCCTTCCTCCTTTAGCTCCCTAACCTTTTACGGACGAGTATTCTCCGCTAGAAGGTGCAAGACCCCAATCGCTTTCCCGCATTGTGCATGCTATACAAAGCCAAAATTACAGGCAGCAGGGTCTTCGTGCCAGGGCCTCCCGACCATACCCCTCGATACATAGAGCCACGTACTCTGGTAACCTTCACTTTGAGGGCTATGGGGGGACACAACCTTCACCTGGAAAAAAAACAGAGGCATCCGGGGCTTCGCCCTGGACGTTATCATCTTTATTATCCTGACTGTATCGAACCGTATGTTAATAAAGAAAATATAGGGAATGATATCCTTAGCTTATTTCAGCGAAACCGAGAGAATTAGCGTTTTCATAGCCTTTTTTACGCAAAAAAAGAAGGTTTCTGTGGAATTTTCGCCAGAATTCAGGACAAAATTTTTCAGTTAACCTCTCATTTGACCAAAATAGAGTTTCAAAAGTTTAGGAAACCTATTGAAGTTAAATAAAAACGAGAAACTGCGCTTAATTCTTGCGCAGAGAATCGCGCAGGAATACGCTGTCTATCTCGTTAACGAGTAATTTTCAAAGCTTGGGACGTTGTCAGTTCTCCTCGTCGGGTCATGACGATCAGAATGATATATATGTTACAAGATTTCGTGGAGACTCCGCTGAGATCTACATCAGAGCCAAATGCCCCGTCGGTTCTGGTCTGTCTCCGCTGCTCGTCTGCGTCTCCGCGCGCTGTGCGCTACCTCGCTACCCCCAAACGCGGGGCGCGGGGCATTTGGCTCTGGTACCTTTTCTTCGCTGTTTCGAACCCAATGTTAGCAAACTGTATATCATTTTGAAGCTCTTGATCTCTATTTTCACGCTGACAACGTCCCAGAACCACATTTTTTGACTTGATCAAGAAATTCGGCAAAAACCTTGTTTTCGAAAATCTCTTGTTTTTCTCCTAGTTTAAGTATTTTCACGCGATTTTTTCGTGCATTCTATAGATCTTGCTTCTGTTCGTAATGCAGACAACCACCCATCCCTTATCTCTTCGATTATGGTGGAATTTTTTGCAAAAAATCGTCAAAAGTGCGTTTTTCTTTACGTTGTTCTGTTTCAGTGCTTTCGCATCGATTTTCTCCAGCTTGGGCGATTGTTGCTCAGAACACTAAGCGCAACAATCCAGACAACGTCCCAGGAAACAGGAACGTCGCGGGGGTAAAAATTCAAATGACGCATCAAAATCAAAACCCCGTGTTGCGAGTTGCTGGTCCTGGAGCGAAAACTTGCACTCTGAAAATCCGCCAAATGAAAGATTTCAAACTTCATTGCAGCGTTTTTATCCGGTTTACAACTTTCTTTTACTTTTTATATCTGTTTTACGTCATTTTCTCTTTTAAAACAACCTTCACTTTTGGCGCCCTGTCTCTAGACTATCGAAGGTATGCTCCCGACTGTTCTTTGAAAATTTGAAAATTTTGAAAATTGAAAATTTTCGTCCGAGCTGCCTTTGGGAAATTGAAAAAAAGCCCCGAAAAAGGCTTTTTCACCCCTTTTAAAGCTCAGATTCGGGTCTAAAGGTCGAGAAGGCCCAAAACATGCAAAAAGATGGAAATGCAAAATCTGCTGGGGCGCTGCCTTTAAAAGCACAGCATTTTCCTAATACATAACTTTCTTGTAAAAACGGAAAATTACATCGAACATTCATACCCCAAGACAGAAATCTTAATTTATTTTGCAGTTATGGCAAAAAGTACAGGGTTCCATCGATGGGGTGACCTTCCCGTTGACATCAAGCTTTACATCTTGAAATACCTCGCTTTTCCAACATTGAGACGCCTCATGTTTCTGAATAAGGAATGCTACAACTTGATACGCAAGATAAAACCGAAGGTTGAGCTACGTCTTGAAGATGCGGCGTATTCAGCTTCCAAGAATCAGGTACTAGTCCGTAAGACCTAGTTCTATACATATACAAATAACTGTTTTGAGACTATCTTAGAGCATTTTTTGTGAGAGGCGAAGACATCAGAATTTATTTTAGCGTAAGCGTAAACCAGCAAAAAATCACGACAGTGTGGAATTACATATATATTGGGACAATCCAGGAGCCAGTCCGAAATCTGAACATGATTATCCACTGATATTTGTAAAAGAAAATGAGGAGCAGTGCTGTGTGCAGAGGTTTGAAATACGTTTTTGCGCTATCCCAGATTCATTCGAATCATTTTAGACTAATAACTAAAAAGGGCAAGTTTCGCAAGCGACCAGGCACAAGATACAGCTCAAACACCATTACTGCAGCAACAAAAGTTCTGTTCTGGCTTTCCAAAGTTCTAGATATTCAAGCAACGACCGTTTCAGTGGTTGGTTTCTATATGAATATGAATTTACTGGCAAGAACAAGGTTATCCTTTCAGCCTTCACCAAATGCGGACTTACAGGCTGTTCTAGCAGAGCAATCGTCTTCACAGAAAATAGCTAAGCAATATTTTGCCATGATTACTGAAGACAAACCCTCGATCACTATTGAATTTCTGAGATTTTTAAAACCTGGATGCGGAGTTTCAATCGAACAACGGAAAAAAGCAACGGAACTCTTCGATGGTTCTGAATTATTTAACCATGAAATTGTAAGAATGCTGTGTGAGAAATAACTAGCTCTATAAATTGATTCGCTTTAGATTCGATGCGCTCGAAGCATACAAATATTCAGCGACAAGGACCTAATGATGACGGACCATCAGCTTGTTCGCCTTGCAGCAGAAGAGATTTCCATCAACGCATCTAACATTACACCTGAAGCTATCAATAAGCTTATATTGGTAGGAAGATTATATCATAAAAATGTGAGCAAAACCGCAGCGTCAAAGGTTTCGCTTCATCCAAGTAGCTTGAGCTTTTCCCTTCTAAAAGTACTTCTATATAGTTGAAGTTTAACTTTTAAGGAATGGCTGGAAGGAAAACGCAAAATCAGTATCATAATGCTGGATACGTTGCAAACTTTGGACTCAGGGATCATTTTGCAAAATGTTGATCCGAATGCGATTATGCTTTGGGAGGACTATGTGAAACTGTGAGCCTTTGACTTCTACAATTCGCAACATCGAGAGGTGCACAATGCGTTGAGAACTACCGTGACCCAAATATTACTGCTTTCTGAGTCTTTCGTACATTTCAGAAAGCATTGAGATTGGGTTTTTCCAGACTGCAAGTTATCATTCCAAGTAGTTACTTCAATAAAGAAAATCCTGCCAAATGCTCAGCTGGAGGTGCAAAATGCTGCATCGCCGTAGTTGTTACATAAATGCTCAGAAGTAATCAAAGTTAGATACACCTCTGGTCTTACCGGGAAACATGTGTTAATTTGGCGTATAATCGGTGATACAGGTTTTTGTAAAATCCCTGGAGCTCTTTAGAATTTCAAGTTTGCTCTAAACCTATCGGTGATGAGGTTTACCAGCAAGCTAACCCTTAATGGATGGATTGTGTACATGGACGCAATGCCAGAAGTGTACGACAGCCTTGTTTAGCGGTGCGTTGGTTCGAGTGCTGCAAGCAGAAAATTTGTCAATGAACGGCATAAGAAGGTTTTCCAAAATTCTATGCTGTATCAAGTGATGATTTTTAAACGAGTAACTATAAAAATCGCTGAGACATTTGAGATTAGCGCTGTAGTATTAGGTTGTCCGGAAATTAATGTCCGTTTTGAATTTCAACCGCAAAAAAGTCATACATTTTTCATTTTTGAATGAGTTTCAAAGTACCGTTCGATAGAGCAAAGCAAGCTCTACAAGATGGCTGTCTTGCTTTAGCAATAGCTCTGATCCGCCTCGAGTTTCGAGCCAAAAACTAAAGTGATTCAATTGCCCAAAGAATCGAGAAAATTTGTAACTCAGTTTATAGGAATCCTACAAAAATTGTAACTTGCTTACGTAAACACTATCCACATAAGACATATATGTACGCCGTTGCCGTATTTTTTACTCTGCTAGAAATCAAGAAAACGGAAATTTTCATGCTTTTGCCAAAGTGACGCTGTGCCGTCCCCAAATAAGTAGATGTATACTACAAATTTGTAGAAGTACAAACGTGGAGTTTCAGCTCTCCACAAGCTTTAGTTCTCGAGAAATGTCGAATAAGCTTTCATTAGTCAAGCGGTCCAAGGTAAAATTCAAATTTCTCGAGAACTAAAGTTGTAGAGAGCTGAAACTCCACGTTTGTACTTCTACAGATTTGTAGTATACATCCACTTATGTGGGGACGGCACAGCATCACTTTGACTAAAGCATGAAAATTTCCGTTTTCTTGATTTTTAACGAAGGAAAAAATACAGCAACGGCGTACATAGATGTCTTATGTGAATAGTATTTACGTGAGCAATTCAGAATTTTTGTAGGATTCTTATGAACCGAGTTATGATTTTTCTCGATTTTCGGGCAGTTAGATCATTTTAGTTTTTGGCTCGAAACTCGAGGTGTATCAGAGTTGTTGCTAAAGCAAGACAGCCATCTTGTAGAGCTTGCTTTTGCAGATAGCTAAAATTGCACGTGTGATAAAATATGTGGTAAATTAATATAAATTGATGAAACGTTAGTCTTGCTGTAATTATCTAGAATGCAACAGGCTAAAGTAAATTATTGTGGAAGTTTTTTTCGATTGAGGGCGTTGCGCTAGCCACACCTCTTGCTACAACTGCCAAATTTTGAAAAAAACAGTGCTGACTGTGGGCTCCCTACTCGCAAAATGTTATTTGAAATATTCGATAACCATTCGCATATACAAATATAAAGATCATACTTGAACCTTATAACTCATGTAGAATACATTCAAAAAATTTGCGTGTCAGTTTCGGGGAGAGACAGGGTAGAAAGAACTGGAAAGAACCTTCTCAGCCAGATTTTTTTTACTACTTGCATTCAGCCACATGTTTTAGTAACTAAATACACCTATATTATTCTTACTGCTCTCCACGTTCATATTGAAAACCTTCATGCCAACATACTTTGCAGTTTTTACCCATGGTCGCAATTTTACCTGTCCTTAATTTGGGTATTCAATCTCGTATATAATTATTTTGAAAGAGCTTGTACAACTTGTGCTAGGCCCGAGCGGTAGCTTGGAGAGGGTCAAGGTTGTAATAGAGCCGTTTCATACCTTACGGAATTGCCAGTTGTCCGCATATGAATGCAAAACTTGAAAATTGAGTCGATTTTGTCTACAAAAGTGTATGCATAAATAAGCGACAAAGTGGTACAGGATGGAGTGCAGGTTACAGAAGGTATCTGGCAGACAATGAAATCTGATATGTGCAAAAAGTTTGTCTTTGAGGTGGCTTCCTCCTTCGTTCTACTGCAAAACACCTTCACATTCCATAAATTACTGATATACTGATTCTCCAGTTGAAGTGAAAAGGGCGTTTGCTTCTTTGTTATTTCTTGACTGTCTCTTAACTCAAAAGTTCCAGTTAATAATTAATACAACGAATGTCTCAGTATCTGTTTACCGTTCTTTCAGGCCATCCTTCCAAGGGAAGTTAAATTTCGAAGATGCGCCCACTCCAGTCGTCAGAGGGCCTCAAGGATTTCTCGTAGTACGAACGGAGAAGAACTCTTGCATGCTAGTTTCTGATAGCTTTTCGGCCTCATGAAAAAAATGTGATCACTTGATATATAATATGATTCTACTGCAGAGCACCTCTCACGTCTTATGAAACACTATAGATGTGCTGTGCTTACAGATGAAGTGGAAGAAGCGTTTGCTCCTTTGTTTTTTTTCACGTTTGTTCCTTGCCTCAAATTTTTAGCTGGTGACTAATACGATAAACATCTAGTGTATGATTGTTTCTTCAGAATACTCTACAACGGGACCTGAAACTTTCGATATACGTCTAGTTAGTAAAGGATTCCAAGGCTTTCTTATGTGATCACTTGTTTTTTATATGATCTGCAAACTTGTTTGATTGTTACAGACTAGAAATGCTCATTTCGGTAATGCACATCGAACACATACCCCCTATCTGTTATATATGTTAGAACAAGACTGTACTAATGTCCCGTACAGGTTGTGTAGAGCCTAACTGCCTGCGCCTAAAACTTTCATGGTAACGTATAAGCAAGAAATTTATGAAATTGTTATTTTATGCAAAAAATCACCTCATTGCTGCACTTTTCCACCAAAAACGCTGCAAAAAGAGCCACACTGTTCTGTAAATCCCAAGTTTGATTCCTGGATCTGAACTGGGGGGGGAGCAATATTCATTAAAAATTGAATTCAAGGCATGAATTCGAGTTACTATCAAACATTCACACAGCTTTGAACGCACTCTGATCAAGCCTACTGACATAGCTATAGAAATTATAACATCTAAAACTGAACTTTTGTTCTTCGTTTAGCAGTTAGCACAGACAGATGCTAGCGCATTGTTATCAAAAAAATGGTCATAGATTACATGGAATCTACTACATTTACTTGAGGCAACAAGAAGTGAGCAGATGTACAAGGACTAATCAGACACCGGCAGTAAGTATTCTCACACTTTTCCATTTCAGCTATGACTCAAAATCAAAGGATAAGGCCAAGGCGGGTTGGCCAAACCGTGATTAACTCTGCAGATTCAAGGAAGCTCACCCTGTTACCACGTCTACACTATTGGAAGTAGAATGGTGCAAAATAACGAACAACGATTTAATCAACAATTTTTGCAGTAATTGATGACTATGAGAAATTCATTTTGTAGGTTAAGAGTTCCTGTATATAACAATGCTAATTCAAGCAAAGGCCGCTCATCGTCTAGTCACTGTTAGCAAAGCTCCTCTTCTACGATTCGCTTATACATTTATTTTTGCTATAAAACTGTTTGACGCTTATGATAGGTCAATATGTGTAAGCCGAAAAAGACTGCAAGAGGCGATCTTCGCCGAGTTGTCCCGAACTGACACACTTTGTAATAAACTCTCATATTTCTGTTTTATGCTAACTTCCTATTATAGCCTAAAAACTTGCAGACGAGAGTTCTGAATGAAATCTATACTGATTTCGAATTATGTAATTCTAAAACACATCCACTGAACGATTGCGAATGCATACTATTCATCCTGGAATCATTATAAAGACCGAAACATTGCAAATTATGGCTCAGATAGGAAATACAAATAGTCTTTTCGCAAATGATTGAAAAGTTTGACGCACTAACTGTTCTGCAGACCAAAATTAGCACGAGAGAACTTCGTTATCTCTGAACATCGCCTAAAAGTAATGAAATGTTTTTCAAAATTAGTAAAAGGGAGTTTAATCAATTCCAGAGTACACGTAAGTTACACAGGCTCAATGATTAAGGTGCAAAATCTAAAGCGCAAACTCGTTTCGCAAACAAAATGTACATCCTATTCAAAGTAAGAGGGGTACTGCATATTCTGTGGAGCAGTTTTATGAGTGCTTGCTGGCTCAGAACAAGTCTTATTTTATACTGATTATTCGCTCGACTATCTAGAACTTGATGAAAGCGATGAGCAAATGAAAATGTCATGGAGTCATAATAAAATGTAAGGTTCCCTAGTTATCTTAGTTTTCTGAGAAAATGAGTGTTTGAAATTAGCAAAAATAGCGTTTCAATTGTTAGTTCGAAAAATTCAACTCTACTTGCACTGCGCAGTTCGAATTACACCTTTGTCAATGAGCTGTACCCTACACAACCACGGCAGAGTTTTTTGTTTCAACATAATTCAAGAGCTTAAGCTTCTTGCTGCCAATATATAAGGTTGTCCTACAATTATTTACCGTTTTTGTTACAGCCGTCGCCTTTTGTATCCTTCCTTCAAATGTAACTTGCGTAATCATTTGACAGCACAAAGTAAGCTCTACAAGACTGCTACTATCAACATTCTGGCCAAATCGTATTTCACGTGAAGTTCTGAGATCAAATCTGAAAGCAGTTAAAATAAACAAAATTTCCGGGGAAAAAATCGTATCCATACCCCAAGAAAACTCAAAAATTCTCCATTTATCCTAGCATTTGCTTGACACATAGCACTTCGACTACACACTTTCCGTATATTCCATTGTTAGAAATAAAGAAAAAAATTGAATGGAGTAAATTGGCAAACTCCGCCCTAGACGTTTTCTCCCACACATCTCATATATAGAGCTGAATGTCTGTTTGTCTGTCTGTCTGTCTGTATGTATGTATTAGGTTGGCACATAAGTTTTGCAACTTTTCCCGTAACTTTTTTCCTACTTTACGTAGTAATCTCATTTTGTGGCATCGTGTAGATCGTGATGTAAGCTGCAAGCCTAAGCTGTGCAAACCGTTTGATTTTTGATAACGTAGTACAAAAAATCTAAGCATTTTTTGGAAACTGCTGAAAATCGAGGTTTCACGATTTTTTGGGAAACATGAAGCCCTACGAAACCTGATTCAAACATATGAAAAAGCAATTATAGGCAGCATGTAGCTGGAAGTTGGCACATTGGAATCAGTGAAAAAGAAATGAAATTTAAACACAAATTAAGGTGGGGCGTTTTGAGAAGTTAAGCAAGTCAAATGTGTCACGTTTTGAAGGCAATTTGTCAATAACTAAGCTGCGAAAAGTCAGAAATCGCTATAACTTTGCACTATAGGGTAATCCTATGCGGTAAACACGAATATCATATTCATTTGTCGCTAAAATAAAATTCATCTTTTGATCTCACGAACGAGGCCTTTTCATGCGAAACGGATCTCATTTTTGTGATCAGCATGTCAAATAAGCCCTATAGGCCAAGTTTCAGCAAAATCTGGTGCATTCTACAAATTTTTCCCATAGTACCATAAACCTACCGTAATCCTCACATAAGATGGTAAAATTCGGCAAAAATGTGTGCATTAGAAGCTTACATCATATTCCTTATATTGCCAAAAAATGAATGCGCTACGTGTAAATAGACAAAAGTTTCATAAAAAGTTGCATTACTTATGTGCCAACCTAATATGTATGTCTGTCTGTGTGTACGTATGTTCCGAATAGAAAATTCCATTTCTAAACCGATCCGGATTAAACTTGGCACACATACACTTCGGGCCCCGGCGGGTGTCATAGGCTACTTTTCGTCATCGATCGATATCGATTTTATCGATTTTTTGCAAAGTTTGAGCTACGGGGTTGGGAGTTTGCACAGAGAGGTAATCGAGCATGGAGATTCCGAATACAATATTAGCTTTTGAAATCGTCCATTATTTTTATCGATTTTATTGATGGTTTTGCAAAGTTTGAGCTACAGGGCTGGGAGTTTGAACAGTGGGGTAATCGAGCATGCTGATTACGAGTTCGATATTAGTGGCGTTATTCGGCTATCCGGGCGCCAAAATTTTTTGTGGTAGAGCTTGCTCTAACTTCGTGTATAAGGGTTATCTTAAAGGCCGGGCCTAATTCAAGCGATTTCAATCGCGACGCGATTTGGCAATATTCCAAATGTCCATAACTCATTGTAAGCACATTATAAATGTACAGAAGATAAGGCATTTTATCAGTTTACGTAAGTTATACACACTATGCATGTGCAGTTTGCTAAGTTGGATTCGAAGACTTCTGGCGAATTGCCAAATCGCATCGGGACTGAAATCGCGTGAAATATGCCTGGCCCTTTACATGCTGATTACAGATACCACACTTTCTCCGCAAAACGTCTTCTTGTGTGGTTACGATAGGTGTACGGTAGGAAGTCAAAATCATGAATTCGGCTGGAGTTCGGTCCATATGGCTTATTCGACATGCCAATTACGAATATCATCTCTCTCTGCATATTGGGACCTTTTCATAGAGTTGTGGTGGTTATATGGCATGAAGTCGAAAACATAGATTTGCTTCAAACTTCGTCTAAGGTGGTCATTTAGCGCGCTGAACATGAATATCATGCTGATTTCGCAGGATAGTGCAATTTCTTTGGTTATAGTGGGTGTAGATGGGTAGTTCCAGATTTGCTCAAAACTTTACCTATAACGGTTCACAAGTATATCGCTTATATATATGATGCTTGCTCGCTGTCATAACGCAATAGTGAAGTTATGGTGAGTTGCAGGGTTTCAATGGACATTTTTTCGCTTCCGGGCCAATTTAAATCCCAGATATGCAAGAGACAGGGAAAGGTCGTGTTGCATGGCGATCTCCAGCGCCATCCTAATAACCTGTCCCAAAGCGTAACGCACGCGGCAAACCTCCCTCCCCTGTTTTGCTTAGCAAAAGCTGCCGAAGGGTGTACCGCGCGCAGCGTGCTCCTATAAGGAAACTGATAACCTGTCCCAATGTTAACGCACGCGGCAAATCTCCCTCCCCCGTTTTGCTTAGGCAAAAGCTGCCGAAGGTTGCCTCGCGCGCGGCAGTGGTCCTATAAGGGAAAGCACTACGGTCGTGGGAAACTTTTATACCACACGAATTGCCTTTGTCGTGAGGATTGAGCACGATATTCTTGAAACAGCACTTTAGGTAATTTTCTGCCAAGGTTACAGGCAGATTCATGATTTTTATCCGCTGCCATGTACCTACCGTATAACTCTGCGAAAAGGTTTAACGCAACGAGAGTGTTTTAAACGTGGTCAGGAGGTCGAATCTCTCTAGACAGAGTTTCAGCCAGAACTGAGATTTCGCCCCTGCGCAGTATACCTACCATAACTCAGTGAAATCGCCTCAAAATGCTGAAACAAAATGATATTCGTGATCAGCATGTCAATTAGCCTCCCCCTCAAAGTTTCAGCGAAATCCATGATTTTAGCTTCTTATGTGTACCCAACGTAAAGCCAGAAAATGGCGCTATATCGCGCGAAATGACTACGATATTCGTTATCAGCGGCTTTAGTAATCCCCGTGTACCGACTT